ATATTTAAATAAGATATAGGAAATTTAAAATATAATATTAAAATAATATTAACTTTAAAAAAATAATTTATATTGTTATAATCTTGTTGCGATCTCGATATAATCTTGATTAAATATTATAATATATTTATTTTTAATAAAATCTTGTTACTATAATATTACGATCATATAGCAAGGTTTTTATAATATATTTATAATATTTAAAAAAATTAAAGGTTTCTGCAATGATAGTTCTATCCAACCATTAACTATGACCAATAAAAATTTGAATTTGAGTTCACAAGTGCTGCCTATTGATGATGAATCAGAATTATCTAAACAAAACCAAAATAATTTAGATAATTCACCTGAATAAAACTTTAATAGTGTTATTAACACATTTGACCCTATTTTTACAATTCCAATGCCAGTACCTGATATGAGGTTTGAATCATAGACAGAAATTGATAAATATCTAGATGCCTACTGTAATTCAAAAAACTTTTCTAAGATTATTTATGGAGCAGAATATGATGATGGAATATGAAGACATTGTCGTTATAGATGTAAATATCAGAGCCAATATCAAAGTAAAAAAAAAGCGATCGTTGAAGAACAGCGCAATACTCGTTCCAAACGTAGTGGATGCCCTTGGTCTGTAAATACTACATGTTCCAAAACAACCGGTATTGTTAGTATAACTGCAGTTTTTTAGAACATGGGGACCATCTACGTGATCTCCTTGCTAATAAATTTGGTATTATGCATCGAATGCTGACTGAGCTGATGTTGGCTAATATAGAATTCTAACTACTAAAGGAAATCTTAGTATGCATACCCAATGTCAATTGCTTGAAGCAAAATATGATAATGTTTTTTTTTTATCACAAGATTTGTCAAATACAATTCAAAGGATAAAGGCAGAACAATGGGTTGATGATGAAGCTACAACATTGATTAATTATCTCTTTGAACATAAAAATAAGGATATAAGGTGAATTATAAATTGGCATATAGATCCTACAACTAGTTCTTTAGTATCTTTATTTTGGATGACTCCAGATCAATATAATCTTTATGTTAAATATAGTGATGTTGTATAATATAATAATACATATTCTATTAATAGATTTAAGATGACACTTGGACTTTTAGTAATTATTGATAACAATAACCGATCACATTTAGTTGAACAAACATTAATGAATAATGAAATATTAGAGAGTTTTGAATAAGTATTTCACTCTTTTGTCTATGCAACAAACACCTATCACTCAATTATTATAATAGACAATAATCTAGCTATTGATGCTACAATTGCAAATGTAATACCAAGTACATATCATAT